CTTTAGTAGTCAACCCGCCCCCCTCCACTTTTTTGAGAGAGATTTTTGCTATAGGGCGCACATTCTCCTCAGAGAGAGAGAGAGAGAGACAAAAAGCAAGAAATCACCCCTCGGGGGATGGTCACACCACAATCTCCTCTCCTCTCAGGACTTTGGGCACACACGCATGCACATGCACCTGGCATGAGTTTTAAGATGCCAGGCTCAGGACTCGAACCGCAGTTGAGTACCTAGGAGTCCAGCGATATAACCATTACCCATCTGCTGGTCCCTTGCCTCCCCGTTTAAGGGCCCTTGTGATTGCATTTATGGCCCTGCCCAGATGATTCAGGATAATTTTCCCATTCCAAGATCCTTAATCTCATATGCAAAGGCCTTCCCCCCCCCTCTTTATATAAAGTAACATTTTCAGGTTTCAGCTATTAGGACTAGGTCATCTTTGGAGGCCACTCTACAGCCTCCACAGAGTTCCCATATGGGAAGACATTAAAAATAGACCGTCAGGCCCCACCTGAGACCTACTGATTCAGAATTTGCTTTCTGACAAGATCATGTGATCCACCTGCGCACTGACACTTGCTCAGCCTGGTACTGTGGGAGCCCACCTAAGGAATTCTTCAATAATTGGGGCCCACCTCAAATACAGATCTAAGGAATATTTGTCCTAAAGGCCTTTGCAAGTGGAGGTGGATAATCAGTTGACTTATAATTTTTCCAAATGGTCTCTGTAAGTGCTTCTCTAAGTCCCCTGATTCTGAATAAAGCCACAAGCCTTAATTAGGATGTGCAGTCTCATTTGTTTCCAGTATTTTGCAGGAGGTTCGCCACTACAGCAGAATGGTTCAATGTTTTAAATGAAGCTACATAAGGGAGGTTACTTTGTAAACCTCTGTGGCTTCTCCTAACATTGATTTCACAGTCTGTACAGGCTTGCTTCCTGTCAAGTCAGGAATCAGGATGGGTAGCCCCCTCAACGTTACCTAGACTTGTGGCAGCCTGTTCACCTTCTGCGATATGTAAGCAGAAGGTAAGGGAAAAGCATGTGATATTGATCACAGATACCCATTATCATACATCCTCCATATTTAAGTGTTAAGGGACAGAGTTCAATTATTTTGAAAATGGTAATTTCACAGATGTGTGAAATACCAGATCCAAAATGAAATTAAAAATGGCTTCTGGTAATCACAAAGACTGAGTCCTCTGAATAATGACGAAGTGTGAATGGGTAAGGGATTTAAGGAAGAGATTGCTGAATGCCGTAATTATCCACTGGGGGGCAGCAGTGCTGTAAATTACCAAGGCTTCCCGTCGATACTAGTGTACCCTTTTCTGGAATGAGCCTAGGAATTCTGATGTAGTTTAGGAAAAATGATATATAGTCACTCAGATGTACAGTTACTCAATTTTGTATTGTTTCTGGAAGTCAGTAAACTGTTAAATCCCATTCTTGAGTAACAATATACAAATTGTAAAAGTAGCTAAAAAGCTCATTGGTTAAAATGTCACTTGCTTTCTCACTTTCCCTTTCTATCTTTCTCTATCTCTCTGGTCAAATTAAAATAAAGTTAAATAGAAGGATAATTCTTAAAAAAATATTTAAAAAATGTTAGCTGTCAGGTTTAGAGTTTAGAATAGCTGAGTTTAGAATACCGTAGGGTTGCTTTTTCCCCTGAAGCCCTTAAGTCTCATGTTGCAAATTCTAATTCCTTCCAATTCCAGGGCTCTTCAGTAATTCTTGCAGAAGACTTATTGTTACCTTAAACGTTCTGTATTTTATCCATTTAAAAAACTACACTGCAGTCTGAAGGTCGAATCTTTCTAAAATGCTGTCTTTATTCATAGTACAATTTTTATCTAGTGTTGATATTAAACAAAGATTCGTTCTGTATTATTTAGCCATAGACAGCCTTGTTAAATAAGACAGGCACCAAGACTTTAATTTAAGCCTTCACATTTTTCTTATTTCTTTTAATAGGTGGAATAAAACCACGAGTTTCTTTTGTAAGTATTGTATAAGTCTTTACTTTCATGCTTATAAGTTTACATCGAGAAATTGACTATGGGGTTTCAGAACCACTAATGTAGGTCTTTTCAAACTTAGCTACACATTACAATCACTTGAGATACTTTAAAAAAAAAAAAATCCCTATGCTCAGGCCGCATCCCAGAGCTATCACCGGAGAACTCTCTGGGAGTGGGGCCCAGGTGTCAATAAATCTTCCCAGGTGATTCCAACAGGCAGCCAGGGATAAGAACAATGAAGCCTGATCTGATGGGTCTTACGGTCTGATTTAATTCAAATTTGCAGTGAGATCAAGAATGCTGTTTGCATAAACAAAACCAAATGCCATGAGTTACTTAAAGTCAATTTTTAAGTATCTTGGGTCCTTATTTAGCTCTCTATAGAAAGCGATGTGGAAGCTTATCTTCTATGAGATGCGTGTGTGTATATGGCTACTTAAATGTGGCTAAACGCAGTTAGGTGATACAGGCAATGAGAGCTGGGCGGAAGTCAGGCAGAGCTTCGTGGAATAGATAATACTTGAACTGGGCCTCAGAAGCTGGACAGGACACCAGGCATTTCACATAGTGAACCAGACATATAGCAGAAAGCACCGGGAAATGACCTGGCTTGACCGAGAGTAGGTTATAGGAAGGAAAACTTGGAAAGAAACATTGGGATCTAATGATAGGTGGTCTTCAAGTATCATGCTAAGACATTTGGACTTCACTATCCTGCAGGTCATGTAGTGTCACCAAAAACCTCTGAGCAGAAGAGATTCTTGATGGGTTGGGAGCAGAGAAGCCTGGAGATGCTTAAGAGTTTTGATGTGAGGGTCAGGAGCAATGACCGTGGGAGTGGAATGACTCGAGAAAGGGCCCATTAGAAACAGACTGAGTTGAGAGAAAACGCACCAGAAATAACCACATCTTCACAAGTGATGTTTCTTGGTGTGTACCATTTTATTTTTGACCAGACTTGAAAACCAGATGTTCAAAACAGAATGAAGCCATTTTATACACAGAATTTTTCTTTTTACTGCAAATACATTTTTGCTGTTTAAAATTTTTCATTCAAATATTTTTCTTTCTTTGCCATTTAAGCATAGAGAGAAAACTGGCTTTCCCATGTTAATATATTTAAGTAATTGACAAGCTGTTTTATAAAATATGTATTTACACACACCTATAAGCCTCACATATAAATATTAAGTGAAAAAAATGAATAATATATTGAACAGCTTTGCAGACACCAAGATTGACAGCAGGGGTAGAGCTGCAGTACTTGGGTGCTCCACCCCAATATCATTCAATGCTACCAACAACACTAAGATCCTGAATTTTGTGTTAGTGATCACATGGAATTTTATTTCTTTCATTATATATGTTCCTAAATAAAGTGTAAAATTGAATAATCAAAACATACAAAAAATTTAAAGCAGAAACTACTATAAAAGTCAAGTATAAAAGTATTTGAAAATATTTCTATTAAGTTAAAAAAAAAAGGCACAGCCATCCCTTTTAATCAATTGTACATTCATGAAAAGTATATGGAAATGGTTATAAACTTCAACTCTGTAGCTAATTCAGAATTCCTGCTTATTCCGCTCAAACTGTATCTTCCTCATGTATCTCACTGGAGATTGACGGAGAGAAGGATGTTACAGTGCACTGAATTCACCTCGCATGCTTTCTATAGCAAGTCAGTATTTTATTCTGATCTGCTCCTCAAGGCAATATTTCTTTGGCCCAACTTAGGCCATTAAATATAAAAATTTAAAATATGAAGGAGCCAGAAGTTAGTGTAATGGCTATATTGCTGGACTCCCCTGTAACCGACAGTTCAAGTCTTGGACCTGGCGGCTTAAACTCATGCCGGGTGTGTGTGCATGTGTGCCCAAGATCCCGAGAGGAGAATGGAGGAGAAGGGATTGCGGCGTGACCATCCCCTTGGGGGGTGATTTCTCGCTTTCTGTCTCTCTGTCTCTGTCTGTCTGGCAAGCGCACACACACACTATGGCAAAAACCTCTCAAAAAAATTGAAATATGGTTTGTAAAGATATAATTTGAATTCCAGTTGGCAATCCTTTCTTTTTGCCCACTGGCTTCTTTGAAAGAGACTGGTGGGGTCTACCACTCGGCAGAGATCTGATATCTGTTTTACCTGAACTTGAGGTATTTTTTTTTTTTGTCCCTAGCATGATCAAGAGCAAATAGACAAGTTTCCCTCTCTGAATTACATGATTTAATTTTCACTCTGCCTTTTAGGAGATAAGATGCATTCAAAAATAAGAGGCTTCTGCTCACAGGACGAGGTAAATTCTGATACAATTTGAGATCTTCTGATGAATTTGTTCTCTATCAAACGACCTGCTTTTAGACAGCATGTTTAAAGCAGGACCTCTGTATTTAGGAAAAAAGAAAAACCTATTTCCAGAATTAGGAGTGGGTTACTCCACATGTAGGATTCTCTCTAAGAAAACGACACGGCCACAGTGTTCACTTTGTACGGGGACCAGCACTCTTGTTAGAGCTGTCAGAGTCCTCTCTCTTTTCTTTTTCCCCCAGTATGTGCATCTGATTTTACCATCTTACTGGTAATGCAAATCATAGACTTGTTTCTTGAGTTAAAAATGCTGAGGAAAAAAATGCCATATATAAACTTCCTATCTTCTTAAAATCACCAAAGAAGTTACCAAAAAAAAAAAAAAGAATTTTACCCTATTAACTTTCAGAAGATTGTTCAATATTATTTTTAAAGTCGAACTTCTCCATTTTCTAGTTTTCAGTAGTCTTGTTTTTATTTATTTATTTATTTGCCATAGGGTTCTTGCACTCACCAGAGACAGACAGAGGGAAAGTGAAAAGTCACCTCCCTGGGGGAATGGCCACACTGCGATCCCTTCTCTCTTCTCTTGGGATTTGGGGCATATGCATGCACACACACACACACACACACACACACACACACACAGTATGTTTTTCAGGTTGCTGGGTCCGGAACTCGAACTGTGGAGTTGGTCATGTAGGAGTTCAGTGCCTTAACCACCAGGCCACTCGCTAGTCCCTAAAGTTCTTATTTTCAATAGGTAAGACCCAAAGTAGTATACAATATTTGTAAAAGTTTTTTTTTTTTTTTTTTACAATGAACAGTATTTTAAAGTATGTTTTAGAGTTGTTGAAAGAATGAATCTTAAGAGTTGCCATAATCTTTAAGAAAAAAAAATTCAAAATCTCTTTATGAATGAAATGTAATTTCATTTTGAACTATATTTCTCTAATTTTTCAGATCTTACAGGATAAACCATGCTTCCCCCTGAATGGCACCAGGTTATACTGTACCTGTTCGCCTTGTGATGAGCGCCGTTTCAGGGAGCACAAACAGTAACTCGTGCCCAAAGGCACACACGTCTCAAAGCAGCATGAAAGGCTGGTGATGACATTCAAGCCACATAAAAAATATTATTATGACTTAACAGTTGGATTCATGAGAGTGAATCTGGAAATGTTTATTATAGATCTGGAGATTTCAACAGAATCCAAGGGTAAACTGGTAAGCCAGTGCACAGGACCCATTCAGTTTGTCTGCTCGGCTGCGCTGGTTGATTTAAGCTGGTAAGTGGGGTATTCAGCTTTAACCTCTGTTTTCCTACAAGGCAAGGTATAAAGATAGCATCAAAGGTAAATATTAAACAAATTAAATTCTAGAAGCCTATTTAGAAAGTAGACAATTAAAAACCCAACATATTTATAGTATCAGGAATCCCTAAAATAGGAAATAAATAATTCTACTAAAATAATTTCAAATAGTCAACTAACTCTCCTTATGAAATCCCATTTTCTATCTCTGTGCTAAATTTAAATCCCCTCCAAATCAAGAAAAGGAGTGGTAGCATAAAAAGTGCCTGGTAAATATGCCCACATTTTGATTTAGGACCAATGGGAAAGACCAGAGAAAAACACATTTTCCTGATTCAACAATTTTAAATCTGTGACTCTGACATGGAACATGAAGACAGGTAGTGATTCTAACAGTGTCCAAGTATAATCCTCCTTTGCCCCTCACTGTCAAGGAAATCGTGCATTCTGGTAAGACATTCTCCTACATAATATTTGAATCGTACTTCTATTGTAGCAATTAATAGCTTTGTAAAACCTATTCTAGTTCAGTGTGATCCAAAGAAGTCTAGTGTCACTTACATGCCACTTAAAATTTTCTAGAAGCCACATTAAAAAAAAATAAAACAGGCACAATTAGTTAGAATTATTTAATCCAGTAGAGCCAAAATAGTATCATTTCGATATGTACTGTAGGTTTTCTTTAGTACTAAGTATTTGAAGTTCAGTGTGTATTTTACACTTAACGGCGCATCTGATACTGGACTGGCCATGTCTGAAGACCCCAGCAGGCACTCATGGCTCCTGACTGGATAACACAGCTCTAGGCACGGCCTCAGTAAATGAGCTACATAGAGAGACTAAAACCAAATGTGGACCAGTTAGTTATGTAGCAGTAGGTGTGTCACAGCAAACCTTGCAGGGATACCAGCTCTTCAAGGGTGTCTGACAGCTAGCCATGGTAACTGGATGCTGATGATTCCTCTTCGTGGGGAGGCCACCATTGTGCTCCTCTACCATCCTGTGACTATTTGTAATACTATAGTTCCCTGAAGACTATCGTGGTGAGTGACTTAATAGTTTGACTTGTCACCAAATTCTCTAAAACTGCTATATTTTTGTAAGTCCATCTTTTTTCTTCTGTAGTGGTAGAATATTTTCCTTGAGACAAATTGTAGGCCAGCCCTAGTGTCATAGTGGTGATGCAACTCTCTACACATGAAAAGGTCCCAGGTTTGTGTCCTGAGGTCCCTATATGTGCCAGACGTGTACATGTGTGTGCTCATGATCCTGCTGACCCTATTGAGCCTCCCCCCCACCCCATGGACTATCTTTCTCTTTCTCATGGAAGAATAACTATGCACATAAAAATATATTCAGAATACTGGGACCAGCAGTTAATGTAATGGCTATGTCACTGGACTCCCGTGTAGTTGACTGTGGTTCTCGTCCCGGACCCGGTGGCTTAAAACTCACGCCAGGCGCATGTGCATGCATGCCCAAGATCACAAGAGGAGAACGGAGGATAAGGGATTGCGGCGTGACCATCCCCCCTGGGGGGTGTTTTCTCGCTTTCTGTCTCTCTGTCTCTGTCTGTCTGGCGAGTGCATGCGCCCTATAGCAAAAACCTCTCCAAAAAAAAAAAATATATATATGTATTCAGAATACAAATCCAATATATGAGAATGTTAAAAAGCACATAAATTTAAATAAATATTTGTTATACCAGTGAAGCTGTTTTGTAGATAAAATTTTGAAGCTGAATGAAAATTAGTTATTTGGCAATCATTAGATGATCTTCAAATGTGTACAGATACCCTGAAGTTCAGGGAGTGTCTGAAAGCTACTTTCCTAGCTGACTTTAGTCTGCAAGGTGTCCTAGGAATGGTACAGAGGGTGGGGTAGGCCTAGACTGCCAATTCTAGTTAGTGTGTTTTGTCTTTCCCATTGGCCCTGTGATCAAAGACACTACTTCCTACTGGTCTTCATAGATTCTATTCCCAAACTCTTCATTATATCCTAGAGTAGCCAGGGCTTCATGGCATAAGAAGTGGGATATATATTGTTATTTCTTTTTCACTGTGTAGACATAGTCTAACACAAATGGAGAAACACTTCTAATTCATTTCAAGTCAAAGTAGGTGGGGTCAAAAGGTTTAAGGCAATGCAGTTCATAATTTTTCAAACTCTTGGGGATTTTTTTGTTTGTTTTTCTTTGATATGCTAAAAATATTCTGATCCAGATCAATGCCTTAAGAGAATTATTTATAAGTTAGAATGGAATCCATTAACAAAATTAAATGAAATATATTTTGGTTTCTGTTAAAGGTCATGTTGCCTTCTTGTCCATTAAATGAACTGATTCTGTTTTATTATTTTCTAGTTGGCTCAAAAATCCATTACTTTTGGATTAACTGTTTTAAAAGGTAGAAGAAGCTAGATAGTCTGATAAAGGCTGCAGAGAGGCACAGCCGCCATGACACAGGCAGTGAGATGCCACTAATGATGCTGGAGCCACATGGGCTTTCTGGATATGGGTCCCAGGTAAAACTGAACACACTGGGTGTGGTGTCCCTGCGACCCTCACTGGCTGGTAGCTAAGGGTTCATCATGGGTGGCGAGACCCTGTCAAGGGTACCTAGCTTTGTTTCTCTCTCTCATGACAGGAAGAAAGAAAACACACACTTCTTTGTTAAAAGGGAAGAGAATATTAAACCAACGTTAGAGCAAAAGCTTGTCAGTATATATTACTTTACATTTTGAAAAAGAATGCTGTAAGAAAATTCTTTAGCAAAGGGAACAGGAATCTGTTTCCTTTTGATGTTTACTGCCAGCATGTCTTAGCTTAGGTTATTGATATCTAAATATCCATTGAATATTTTTCAAAAGAAAGGGCATCTCTGAAAAGAAACAACAGAAAGCAGATAACTTTTATTGTTATTATTACTAATGTCAAAGGCAAACCTTTCTCTCATCTCTTCACAGAGAGAAATACTTTTTTTTTTTTAAGCGATTTTTTACTATGGGGCACATGTGCTTGCTAGAAAGAGAGAAAGCGAGAAGTGACCCTCCCATGGGGAATGGCTGTGCTGCAATCCCTTCTCCTCCATTCTCTTCTTGGGATTTAGGGCATGCATGCACATGTGCCTGGCATGAGTTTTAAGCCACCCTGGATCTGGGGCTCCAACTTGTGGTTGACTATGTGGGAGTCCAGCGATGTAACCATTATGCCATCTGCTGGTCCCAAAACTTAATTATTTTAAAGAATAACATTGTGAGGAGAAATGCTTCTGGTCTCTGGCACCTTCAATTTTGAGGAAATACATGGAGTTTATATGAAGTTCACATACTACTGTCTTGTTTTATGACAAGTTATGCATTTTCAGAGAGATTGAGTAGTTTCTTCTTGGGGCACATTTGTTTTCAACAAGAAGGAGATCCTCGTAAAACTAAATATTTCGTGACTCTCCCATATTTCTAGGCTGGATCTATTACTATTTTTATAAATAGGCTAATTAAAAAAAAAAATCTTCTGTTAGGTGTTATTTTTGTTGTTATTCAGAAACCACTGCAGGGTTTGTTGATTGAAATGTTCAAGTTGATTTGATCCGTAAGATTTTTGCCTGGTGTCCTACTCCCTAACTACCTGAACTAACCATTGTTTATAAGCTGTTTGTACTTAAATGAATGCTACGAAACAAAATTCATGTAATATTCATTTAAGCACAGACAACTTAAAAATTACAAAGTAATTGGATCAGTCCATATTAATGTAACATTAAACGTAGGTTGTAAATCATACCAAATAACAAATATCCTTAATGGTTAAAAGAAAATCTATTTTGTCCCAGGTAATAAAAAATATAAATTATGCAAATAGTTCTAATTATCCAGCTCTCGCCTACGCGGGGATGATTTAACCAGAGAATAGGAAATTACGCATTTATGAAACAAGTCACTACCAGTGACAACATTTACATAAACAGCAGGCATCTGTTGTTCAGAGTCATGACATGCCACATGGGACTCACGCAGAAGCAAAGACAGGGCAGGGCAGTGGCTTCCAAGACAACAGAGGGCAGAGGTTTTAGTTTAAAAGGGAAACAGGAAAGGACACCGAGATAGAACCTGTTTCAAAACAACTGAGATCTTGTATTCTTCTTTTTTTTTAAGAATTATTTTAGTTAACTTTATTTCATTATTTTAATTTGACCAGAGAGGAACAGAGTGAAAAAGAGAGGGAAATGTGAGAAAGCAAGTCACTAGATCTGGGACTTGAACTGTGGTCAGCCATATGGGAGTCCAGCACCCTTAACCATCATGCCACTTGCTGGCCCCTGTACAATTGAAATCCTCTTGTATTCTTTTTTTTTTAGAGAGAGTTTTGTTTTGTTTTGTTTTGTTTTAACAATAGGGAATGTGCACTCACCAGAGAGACAGAAAGAGAGAAATCACCGCCCAGGGGGGATGGCCACACCACAATCCCTTCTCCTCCATTCTCCTCTTGGGATCTTGGGCATGCACACACACACACCAGATGTGAGTTTTAAGCCACCAGGTCTAGGACTTGAACCACAGTCGACTCCATGGGAGTCCAGCGATGTAACCATTATACCATCTGCTGGTCCCAATCCTCTTATATTTTTATCTGAGAGCTAAGAAACAGAAAACTGTAGAACATGTCTCCCTTTTGGCATTTTTTTTTTTTTTTTAGAGAGAGATTTTTGCTATAGGGAGTGTGTGCTTGCTGGAGAGCAGAGAGAGACAGAAAGTGAGAAGTCTCCACCAGGCGAGATGGTTACACTTCAATCCCCTCTCCTCCATTCTCCTCTTGGGATTCTGAGCACGCATGCGCATGTGCCCGGTGTGAGTTTCAAGCTGCAGGTTCCAGGACTCCAACAGGAGTCGACCACATGGGGAGTCCCTGATGTAACCATTACGCCATCTGCTGGTCCCCCTTTTGGACATTTTAAATCAAGTCATTTAAATGCTGTTCGGTGATCTTAAAAAGAACTATTGGGGCCAGGCAGTAGCACAGTTGTGGTGCAGCTGGAAAGGTCCTGGGTTCGTCTCCTGAGACCGCCCTAAGTGTGCTAGGCTTGTGATTCTGTGCCTGTGATCTGGGTCAGCTTGGACTGGGGAGGGATTGTGGTGGGAAGACCCTGTTGGAGTACCCCTTCTCATCTCTCACAGGAATAAATAAAAATAACAACTATTTATGCTATTTTTGAACTTTGAGATTAAGGTTATAGAAGGGTGATTGTGTTCCCAAATCATCAGATACCCGTTCATGTGAAATTCATCTTGCATCAAACTAGAATGGCAATTTGGGGTTATTTGTGCCTGCCACTCTGCTTCCAGAATTACCCCTAGAAATGGAGTGGCAACCTCACACATTTCATTGTCTTGTCTAAGAACATTCTAGGACAACAGCAGCCAATTTGAAGGGAAAAATAATGGACATTAAATAGTGCAAAGAAAAAAATAAAAATCTTATTTTTAGAGAGAGATTTTCGCTATAGAGTGCATGTGTGCATGCACTTGCCAGAGAGAGAGACAGAAAGCAAGAAATGATCCCGCAGGAGGGATGGGCATGTCGTAATCCCTTCTCCTCCATTCTTCACTTGGGATTTTGGGCATACACACGCACATCCGCCCAGTGTGAGTTTTAAGCTGCCGGGTCTCCAACCGCAGTTGACTACGTGTAAGTCCAAAGATGTAACCATTATACCATCTACTGGTCCCAGAAATTCTATTTTTTTAAAAAAAAATAAAGCTAAGTATTACCTTACACCCATTAAAAAATATACACATCTACGAAGACTCCTAAAATCTCCACTTATCTTAAATATTAGAAAAATTTTCCAAGAAGCTTAACAGTTATTTCTTCAAATTTTAGCAGTATGGGCATGTCAATAACAGTCTACAACCTGGTTATTCAAGGTGTAGTTCAGGCCCAGTGTCATCACATGGGAGCTCATTAGAAACGTGGAACCCCAGGGTCCACCCTAGACCTAATCAATTAATCTGCATTTTAACAGCCCGCCAGGTGATTAATGTGTATATTTAAAAAGAACTGCCAAAAGCTCTAAAGAAGAAAGGAATACTACCCTGGCACTAGAGGTACTTCAGCTACTAATAAAACAGAACTTGAAGAGTTCTTGAAGGTAGGATTTCAATACCTCGAAGTCAGCAATCCATACAGAGAACCTAACATGTTAGACCAAATTTTTAATTGAGTATATTTCTGTCAAAGGGCAATGCATATCCTGAAAGACCCCATACAGTTTATACTTTAGTTGAAAGGTGGTTATGAACGACTCCTCCCACACCTTTTCTTAACCTATTTTTTCTCAGGTTGTGCTACTGTACATAGGGTTAATTATATTGCACTGGTTCAAGATACAACATTTTCCCACACCATTTTCATATTTTAATATGGCAGTTTTCTGCTGGGCTCTATGCTATAAAATCAGGACTTTAAAAAAGTCACAAAACAAATTAATTTCAAAACTTCAGATCACTCTTACTATTAATTGGGAGTATAATGATCAGATAATTATTCAGCACAGCAGTAACACCACGGAACCCACATGGGGGGTTGTGTCCTGGGACTTGCCTAAGCACCTTGAATATCTGCACACATGCCTGTAGATCCTGGCCTGCTGAGATGGGGGGTGGATTCTGGCCAAAAACCCTTTTGGGGTACCTGACTGTCTCTGTCTGAATACCTAAAAACTAAAAGATAATAGATGATTTACAATAAAAAATATTGACAAAATATAATTTTAAAAGAACCACCAACTGGTAGCTTGATTATTAGGGAACACTTTAAGAATGGTTTGGGGGTGAGAAGATAGCATGGTAGTTACGGTACTGGACTTCCACGTAGCCGACCATGGTTTGGATCTGGCAACTTGCTTTCTCACTTTCTTGCTTTTCCCACTTTCTCGTGTGGGTGCACATGCCCTATAATAAATTAAATTTAAAAAATGGTACTAAGTAAAATTAAATAGTTTTTTTAAAGGTTTTTGCTGTAGGGAATGTATGCCCACCAGAGAGAGACAGAGACTGATGGGAGGGGACAGAAATCACCCCTCAGAGGGAATGGCTGCCACAATCCATTCTCCTCCATTCTCCTCTTGGCATTTTGGGCATGCACCTCACATGCCTGGTGTGATTTTTGAGCCTTCAGGGCCAGGGCTCAAGTTGCTGTCAACCATGTGGGAGTCCAGTGCTTAAACCATCATGGTACTTGCTGGCCTCACATTTAACAATTGTGGGGCAGTGATATTTTAAAAGGAAAATGAAAAAGTTATTTTATTCTGCTTTTCCTAGAAGCAAAATTGTTTAACTTTATTTGTTTATTTATTTTAATTTGACCACAAAGGGACAAAATGAGAAAGAGAAAGCAAGCCACCAGGTCTGGGACTTGCAACATGGTTGGCCATGTGGGAGTCTAGTGCCCTTAACCACCACACCATTTGCCTGCCCCTCCTAGAAGTTCTTTCTACACAAACCTTTTAGACCTGTAAAAATATTCCACTGGTAATATTTTCTATTCACATTGTGGTATATATGTAATTTTAAAAATATATAACTGATAGAGGAGTCAAATATCATGTTTCCCATAAAAACAAGACTCAAATGAAGGAATTGATATCATTTAAATGTGATAACCAAGTCATTTGAAAAAAAATCTTTATGAGTGAATATACTTTTAGTATCTAGGGGAAAATATAAAAACAAACTTGATTATTAATGTAAGAAGAAAATATAATACCATGAGCACCAGAAGTTTTTAAATTACTAGATTTGATTGTAAAGTTATTTCTTTTATTTTGAGAGAGATTTTTGCTATAGGGCACATGTGCTTACCATAGAGAGAGACAACAAGTTAGAAATCACCCCCTCGGGGCGGGGGGGATGGCCACGCCACACTCCCTTCTCCTCCATTTTTTTCTCAGGATCTTGGACACGCATGCACACCAGCCTGGCGTGAGATTTTAGCCACCGGTCCAACTTGAACCGCAGTTGACTACATGGGAGTCCAGCGATGTAACTAACCATTATGCCAAAAAGCTGGACTCTAAAGCTATTTCTAAAACTACAGGGGAAAAATAGTCCAAATTACCAATACTTGGTCTGTGTTCTAGAATGTGTTCTAAGTATTTTGTTAAATTATAAACTCATTAAAATTTAAGTTTGATGTTTAAAACTCCTATTTTTTTTAGAAGAAATGTATTTGTATTTTTTCCCCTATTCACACAACTTTTTATTTTTTTATTTTTTTTTTTTGAGAGATTTTCACTGTAGGGCGCGTGCGCTCGCCAGACAGACAGAGAGAGACAAAGAGACAGAAAGCGAGAAATCACCCCCCAGGGGGGATGGTCACGCCGCAATCCCTTCTCCTCCATTCTCCTCTCGGGATCTTGGGCACGCACGCACACGCGCCCGGCGTGAGTTTTAAGCCACCGGGTCCAGGACACGAACCGCGGTCGACTACGTGGGAGTCCAGCGACATAGCCATTACGCTAACTGCTGGTTCCCCCTAACTTTTTATATTTTTTGTAGATTAAAAAGACATGTAAAACTTAATTGAGGCGCCTTGTAAATTTTAACTCTCAACAACTTTTAAGTTTAACCCCCTCAGTTTTACTCCAATGCATAAAGAAAGAACGTAAGAGGAAAATGGAGGCTCTTAAATTCCCAGTTTAACATGTATAAGTAACTCTAAATGAAAAGAGATCAAATTGGGAATTTGAAGGAGGTACCTATGTAGCTCTTACAGCTTTCTAAATGATGTAAATGAATGGAAACTTTCATCATAAAAATCCCATGGCTAGCCATGACAGTGTGACTATAGTGCAACACTTACTCAAGGCTAGTGCTGAATGACTTTAGGGTACAGCGGAAGAATGGAGGGACACAAAAATGGTGTTCCTTTGGTTCACTCATACACTCTCACACTCCATCCCTGATATCCTGTAGCCCTCCTCATCTTACGTGCCCCTCTTCTGCAAATTCCTTACAGCCAGTCCTGCAACACTGAAACCATATGGGAAGGTCCTGCCTGGGTTTGCATCCCAATATCTCCCAGTACATACCAGACATACGTGCACATGCCTACAATTCTGGTTGGCTGACTGTGGGAGTGGATTGTGGTGTGAATGTTGTGTGGGATGTTGTCTCTCTCTGTCTCTGTGTCAAGAAGTAAACTTTAAAAAAAAAAATTCCAGTGACTGTAACTGTCAAAGTCTCCACAGTGAAATACTTCCAATATAATTTTGGCCACTAGTCCAATTTAGGAAATAGGGCCATACCTGGGATAGGGAGGGCTTCAGAGTGTTTGATGATTCACTAGTAAACCTCAAATCCCACGGAAATTGTTCTCACAGTCATAATAGCTGAAGCAACTCCAAGTAACCCACATGTGGCGATGATGTTAGACGTAGCTGAAAATATATCTTTTTTTAAGAGAGATTTTTGCTATAGGGCATGTATACTCACCAGAGAGAGAGAGAGAGAGACAGACGGTAAGGGAGAAATCACTCCCCAGGGGGAATGGCCATGCTGCAATCCCTTCTCCATTCCCTTCTAGGGATTTGGCACACACATCTGGCATGAGTTTCAAGGCACTGGGTCCAGGACTCAAACTGTGGTCGGCCATGTGGGAATCCAGCGACATAACCACTATGTCATCTGCTGATCCCAGATGAAAATATTCTTAGCAAAGAAATGCAATTTGTGGGGCACATTGCTGCGGGCACACATTGAGAAGGGAAGCACACAGCACAGAGTGCAAACTTAAGCTGCACAAGAGCATGCCGAAGACAAGGACCAATAAATGAGAAGAAATGTGCTTTAATTTACCCTTTCTTCTTCCTCCTCTGAAAACATCTGTACAAGCAGACGCAGAGAACGGCAATTCCAACAACTACAAGAAACCAGGAAAAAATGGCATGTGACTCTGAAGACTAATTACCAAAATCCAAAATCTAGCAGAAGAAATGCTGTTTACATCTCAATGGTCAGAAAATGTTATTTTAATTTTTTTTTTAAAGAATTATTTTATTTAACTTTGTTTGCTTGATTGACTTAACTTGACCAGAAAGGGATAAAGTGAGAAAGAGAGAGAGAGAGGGAAAGTGAGAAAGCAAGTCAGCTCTGTGGGAGTCCAGCACCCTTAACCACCATGCCACCTTCCAGCCACACAGAAAATTTTATTTAAAAAAATATTTTTTTCCTCCCTGAGAGGTTTTTACTGTAGGATGTGTGCACTTGCCAGAGAGATAGAGACAGCAAGTAAGAAATCATTCCTCAGGGAGGATGGCCATGCTGCAATCCCTTCTTCATTCTCCTCTCAGGATTTTTGGCACGCACACACATGTGCCCAGCATGAGTTTTAAACTGCCAGGTTCAGAACTCAAAGCATGGTCGACTGTGTGCGAGTCCAGTGACATAACCATTACATCATCTGCTAGTTCCAGAAGATGTTATTTTATTTAAGTGCTTATACATTTATATTCCATTAGAATCTCCTATCTAAATGTAATTTTCTAGAGTCTATGTACACAGTCCATGGTAAGAGAAGAGTCTTTGCTTAATTTAGAAAATTATCAAAAGCAATTTGGGAAGCAAACTCTTATTACTAATCACCTTGAGAAAACACATATGATTTAGGGTTCGTTACTAAGTAGATGAATAGAAGTTAAAGAATATAAAATCGCCAACATAAGGTAATATATCATATAAAAGGTCAGATTTTTCTATATTGGTTGACTTCATCTCGACCTATAAAAAAAATACAAACTGAAAAACTATTTAAAAACAATGCACTTTACAGTAATATTTTGATTTAGCCGGGGTCAAAATGTGGGATACTTACATCCAGTAATACCAGTCAGAGCAGTGGTCCATTCATCTGTGAAAAATTAAAAGAAGTTTGGAGATGTTAAACATGTAAGAGTCTCCAGATAGCAGCTGCATTTTTATTTCAACAGATCATCTCAACACTATAGCAAAGCAGATTTGTCTGTGTAGTTTTAGCATGAGTGCTAGCTAGTGCATTTGGGTTGTTTTAATGACAGGACCCTTCGAATTAGTTTCTAGATTTAGGGTCCAATTTATAACAATCTTAATAGGAACCTCACTTTTCACTGTTTTGTTCTGTATGTTACATTAGGCTATTTAGTAAAGGTTGGTAGATTAATTAGAACTCATTAGATTAGAGGAAAATAATTTAAAGACAATATTTTCCCATTGTAGTTGATTTAGTTCATTATTCATTCTATCATTTGTTGTGATTTTTGTGGGATTTGTTATCATTTTTGCGGAAATTGAATTTATGTTTTTCCCCAAACATGGAACTGTAGAATAAGTTATATATATGTATTTTTAAAAGTATTTTGCTATAGCATGCACTCGCCAGAGAGAGACAGAGAAAGAAGGAAAAGTGAGAAACACATTCCTCATTAACTGTGCTCTCTCATACCATAAACAGTTATCATTACGTAAGGTGCATTTTACAAAAAAGATGAGCTGTTACTAAACTTATCTAATAAGTGAAAAGTAGTAGTTTTTGTTTTCTTTTAATTGTCAAGAAATCTTTATTTTCTAGCTATCAAAAACTGTTCATCATTTTTATATCATGTTGTTTCTTCTCTAATTGCCATAACTGGAATATGATACTTCTATTTAGGACTTTTTAAGTCTCATATTGGAAGGTTGTTAATAGTCAAAATAATAACCTAATTCATCAAAGTTAAGTAGTCCTTCACGGGTAGTGGGATATCCTGAAAGAAAGAAGAAAAATGGATTAAGTAAAAGAGAAAATAAGGATAAATAAAACAATTGATAATGCTGAAAATCCTTTAAATTCATAGGTCAACTTTTTTCACTATTATTTGAAACTCCTTCAAAATTTTATTTTTATTATAAACTGTATTAATGTTCCTCATTTAAAATAGTATCATACAATCTTATAAATTTATAGTCAATGTCATCAGCTTTTTTCTTCTGTCCACTAACATTCCCTCTGACAATATTCTGTGGAATAGCATATAAATTTATCTTTACTAGAGTCTCGGATGTAGCCTATAGATTCAATTCCATGAGATTCTAATTAAAATGGAAAGGGGAGGACTTGATAAATACTTTAGAAGTTTATCTGGAATAGAAGAATACTTTTCCTCAATATAATTAATTCCATATATGAAAAACCCACAACTAAGATCATGTCCATGTAATTTCGGACACAGGTCATAAAAAAACCCAATGAGATACAAGAGAATACAGACAATTACAGAGATGAGTAAAGCAATGCATTATATGTATGAGAACCTCAACAATGAGATAGACATTTAAAAAAAATACATGGATTTCAGGGTTTTTTAAAATTCAAAATAAATGTGTACTTTATTTCCATTTTCACAAACTTTTTAAAGTCCCCTCATAAGGTTATTCAATTGTAAACTGAAAAATAATAAATAAATTATTGATTTGAAAAAATTAACATGAAATTATCGTAGAAATGTTCTAAATGGAAATGTTTACTAGAATTTTAAAAATATTCATTCATTTATTTATTTAATTCCATTTGTTGATATTATTTTTTAATTTTACCAGAGAAAGACAGAGAGAGAAAGAGAAAGGGAAAGTGAGAAACCAAGCTGCCAGGTCCAGGACTTGAACTGTGGCTGGCCATGTGGGAATCCAGTGTCCTTAACCACCATGCCAACTGTCGGCCTCATCTACTAGATATAGTATGATACTATAGAAAGGAAGAAAAAAAAGACTTAGTTCTGGAATACAACTAGAAGGAGTTCACAAGGGAAAGGCTAGAACACCTATCTATTCAATGTACAATAAAAAGTGTTACTTCAAAGCAGTTGGGGAGAAGACAACTTAATTCAACAAATGATGCTATTTAGCAATTGGGAAGAAGACAACTTAATTCAACAAATGATAGGTGGGACTGGAGGGGAGGAATGCTATCTCATTTCATATACCATCATTAATTTCAGGTGTACCAACAATTTAAATGCAAAGAATGAAGTCAGAACACACAGTTGAACTCTTTATATAATTTCAGTATGAGAAATTTCTAAAGCTTTTATAAGAAAGACACAAGGGACCAGCAATTAGTGTAATGGCTATGTTGCTGAACTCCCATGTAGTCGACAGTGGTTCGAGTCCTGGACCCAGTGGCTTATACTCCGCTGGGCGCATGTGCGTGCGTGCCCAAGATCCTGAGAGGAGAATGGAGGAGAAGGGATTGCAGCATGGCCATCCCCCCTGGGGGGTGATTTCTCACTTTCTGTCTCTCTGTCTCTGTCTTTCAGGCAAGCGCACATGCCCTATAACAAAAAATTCTCAAAAAAAAGAAGAATACACATACATAAAACTGAGACCAAAAGGTAGTATAATGGTTATGTCACTGGACTCCTGCATGGCCGACTGTGGTTCAAGTACTGGACCCAGTGGCTTGAAACTCATGCCAGGCATGTATACATGCATGCCCAAAATCCTAAGAGGAGAACGGAGGAGAAGGGATTGTGGTGTGGCCATCCCCAGTAGAGGGTGACTTGTCACTTTCTGTCTCTAGTTGAGTGCATGCATTTTATAGCAAAAAATCTCTCTTAAAAAAAAAAGACACAAAATTGTTTATTGTTAGGGAAATGATTGATATATCTAACTACCTGGTAATATAAAACTTCTTGACCACTCCTGGGAGAATAGTTAAATAAAATATGATATATATTCAAGACATCATTAAAATGGGTGAAATATATCTAAGTAGAACCTCAATCCAAGACACTAAGTGAAAAAAGTTCAAGTTACAAAAAATATGTACAACATGACATTTAAGCAGAGACAAAAATATCAAACTATGCATACTACACATAAAAAGATGTTAATATACAGAAATAGATAAAAAGAAACTATAAACCATTAACAGTGATTAATCTTTAACCCTGCATATTTCTGTAATGTTTGAAATTTTACAAAAATTTATTGATATACTACTTATGTAATTGAAGCTATAAAAGTAATTTACATCCAATAGTATTAAAAACTTAGAAGAAAACTGAGTACTAAATTAAAAAAAGGGCAAAGTTGATCTTACATTAAAAGGACTTTTAATGAGATCTCAAAAATCATCAAGAAAAATATTTTTAGACACCTAATAGAAAAAATGGACAAAGAACATGAATAAATGGAGACTAAGAGAAGCTGTCTCACTGATAATTTTTAAAAATGCAAATTAAAACAAGATGACATTTTCCATCCATCATTTAAAAATTTAATGTTATATATATATATATATATATATGTATGTATATATATATGTATGTGTATATATATATATATATCAGTAGGATAACAAGTTACCAAACCTGGATAATTGGAAACTGAAGGCTTGGTCGGATGAGAAGGACCTAGAAAAATAAATTTGATTGTATCAATTTACTTTATCAATACAAAATTATGGATTCAATTTTGATATTTGACTTTTAAAAAGATTATCAAAATTAAAAATATGTATGCTTTCCAAACTTTGCAATTTTACTTCTGGGAATTTACTTAGATATATACACAAGTATGTAAGGATGTATGTGCAAGAATGCTTACTATAGCTTAGCAGTTAACTAGTAATGAATCATAAAGTCGTGTGTTCTAGGTAAAAATACATGTCTTTAAAAAAACACAAGGATATAACCCCATATAATTTATATCTTACTCTTTTCCACTTAGTATTTATTGAACTTTTTGTCATATTAGCACATTTAGCTATATCTTAATACCATTATATGTTCCTAATGATACTTTTGATATAGTCTTTCTCCATCTGATAATAAAAAAAGATTGACAATCCTATAAGAAATTTTGATTTATAATTTTTTTAAATCCCTGTAGTTTTTATTTCACAGACTTTACATGATCAGTTATCTCATCTTTCAGATACTAAGCTATACCAGTGTTTTACAGATCCTTTATGAAATGTTTATAGTCAACTCTTTCAAAAGAATGTATCAATGAACTTGGTATACCATAGTGCATATACCCATTAGCAGCATGTGAGGAAACAAGGATGGGTCAATAAGGGTAAGTTTCACATGCAATCTTAGTTTTCTTTATTTTTCAGTCCACCAAAATGCCATCTCTCTCCATTCCCCTAACCTTGTAGCACTCAAGGAGTTATCAGTATCAGGTTCTTATAGGAATTATAAAAGGTATTACATTTAAGTTACTATGTTAACATTGGATATTTCCCTTAAATCCTTTAGAATATTAGGGAGATAGGAAATATACAGACAAATTAGAACAGAGTAATTGAGATCTGTTTAAGTTTAGCACCTTCATTAAACCAAAGAGAAACCAAAACTCACAGAAATGATGCCAGCTGAGTTCGGCAGAGCCAGCTAGGAACTTGAGCATAGTCTGCTCTGGCTAATATTCTTCCCATTGTTCCTATCAGCTCCTGCTTCTGCTGTAGCCAACATGAAACTAGAGTTTGTAGCACTGAAATCAGGAAGATCATTCCTTCCATTATAGTCAAATAATCTATTCAGTCTTAAGCACAGCAGTTGATCAGCAGAGAAATACTCCGTTTCCTGTCAGTAAATAATGACTTTCCCTGCTTTCCTGGGGCTATGAAATTTATTTTCTGTTTCTAGATAAAACTACCCAGTAAAGAGAAGAAATGAATAATTGACAGAAGTGGGGAAGAGGGATAGAGCGAAGGCAGAAATACAGGCCTCCCAGAAACAGCAACAATTTCCCAGTTTGAATGTGCTACATAAAAAGAACCAAACTGGTTGTATTCCAGGAAATGAAGCATAACTCTGTACTAGGAAGATTCACAGTGAAATTGTCAATAGGTCAGTTTTTAAAAGAATGATATAGCAAAATTAATGACACAGAAAACATGTATAATTGTTTATTAACACTTTACTAATTGCTTTAACTGCAAACCATTTAAACCTTTCTATCTATCATCCAGTATGGAAGGTCCTACATCATTTTACATAGAAGTAAAGATAGATATGTATGTATTTGTATATATATGTGTGTGTGCATAACTAAAAAAGCTGTAAAAATATTCTTCTTCTTTTCATTATTAAAAGTGATGAATAAGCAGATGATTCCAGTGATGAACATCACCAGGAATTTAAAGAATTATTTAAATGATTCCAGGAATTTAAAGGATTTTTTAAAAAAATCAGGAATTTTAAAGATTTTTGAAAAATATGAACAGGAAGTTACTAAACCTGGGACACTGGAGAGTGGAGGTTCTGTATTGGGAAGAGTCAACACTAGAAAACAAAATAATAATGTAGATTGAATCAAACACTCAGGAGTTATTATTGCTGGAATTTTCACCAGAAATTTACAAGATTTTTGAAAAATATAGATGGGGAATTACTAAACCTGAATGACTCAAAGTTGGAGGTTTTGTACTGGGAAGAGGCAACACTGGTAAACAAAATAATGTAGACTGGATCAACCACTGGGTGTTCACTTACATGGGGGAGGTCTTCAAAAAGTTCATGAAATTTTTGTATTTAATGAAAAAACTATGAGAAAATTTGTGTATTTAATGAAAAAACTATATATTTTTTGGTACCAGAATAAACCCATGGCCCAGCCTGGAGGCACAGTTGGTAGCATCCTGGCCTATGGTGCTGCAGCCATGTGCCAACCAGTTCAGATCCCTGGCCCTGATCAGCCTGGAACATGTTAAGCACATGTGCACCTGCCCAGGATCCTGACTACTTGGAAGACTCCAGGAAAGAAACCATGAGACCTTGTTGGGGGTGCTCCCTCCTCATGTACGCACGTGCACTAACATGGATTAAAAAGAAAGTAAGTTTTAGAAAGTCCTGTTGGGAACCAAAACTGTTAGTTTAATTCCATTTTTCCACAAACTTTGTGAAGTACCCTTGTAACATTATGCTTTTCATGCTAGACTTTAGATAAAAATGCTCGTGTTTCAATTTACTCTGAAAATGCAATGCAGTCCACTTTTCATACCTAAGAATATTGAACCAGAGAAATTTACATACACATGTGATGTACATAACATGTTTAAGAACCCTGGGAAAACATAAAACCACAAGAGCAGAATTCTATTTGAATTTTATGTTGTACATCTGGCGTAGAAATGAGTGCAAGATAGAGTTAAATACTAAAATTGCTTCTTTTCCATTATTCTGGTATATTACTGATATTTAATGTCAAAATAATAAAGTGTGAAAAAAAAAATAAAAAAGCAAAAGAAAAGAAAACAATCTTTGTACCTCCAATACAGGATGGCAACGAGGGTTCCCAGGTGCTGTTACTGCCACACGTGAGTATCTCACTGCCGTTAAGGTAAAACCCTGCATTGCATTCCAACATAACCACTGCTTGGTAGGGAAATTTCTCTGCAAATCCTGATACCTGCTTTCCATTTGGAAGTACTGGAAGTGGACATTGGATCACTGAAAAGAGGAGAAATCCCAAAATCAATGATGATCTGCTTTTACAAATGATCAGAAAAAGTAGCACAGAGAAGTAAATTCCAATAAGAAGAAAACAAAGAATGGACTGCATTGTGTGTGTGTGTATGAAAAAATTTATGTATTTAATGAAAAAAACATATTTTTTGGTACCAGAATAAACCCATGGCCCAGCCTGGAGGCACAGGCTCCAGGTGTGTGTGTGTGTGTGTGTTTGTGTGTGTGTGTGTATACACACACACATACATACATATATATACACACACGCATAGATATATACACATTATATACATATACACATATATACATATATATGCATATGTACATACATATAGACACACATATACATATATACACAATACATATACACGTGCGTGCACACACACATGACTTTACACATTTAAGATTTAAACATAAAGCATTAATTCCAGGTAACTACAGAAATCTAATAACTTTTTCCCCAAAGATCAAAGTATCATTATAGCTTATCGGTCTTCCTATCTTTTTCTTTTCGCCATTACTGACAAGTTTAGAGAAAGGCCTCACTACATGGTACAAATTCAGTTACATTCAAAACCAGCTTTTGATACTTATTTAGCTCGAAGATTCTTTTCTACATCTTGTAGACACGGATAACAGTACCTTAGTTTTTCTTTTTTTTTTAGAGTTTTTTTTTTTTTTTGCTATAGGGTGCATGTGCTCTCCAGAAAGACAGAGACAGAGAGATAGAGAGACAGAAAGTGAGAAATCACCCCCAGGGGGAATGGCCACTCCGCAATCACTTCTCCTCCATTCTCCTCTCGGGATCTTGGGCAAGCACGCACACGCGCCCAGTGTGTGTTTAAGCCATCAGGCCCAGGACTCGAACCACGGTCGATTACATGGGAGTCCAGCGACATAGCCATTACGTTATTGCTGGTCCCCACAGTACCTTACTTTTTGAAAAAACATAGGAGATACTTTTCCAAGAAGGTAATGCTTGAGCTCAAGTGTAAAAGTTGTAAAGAAGTGAGTCATGCAAAGATAGGCACTAAGAAAGCTCTCAGGCAGAAACAATACCAACAAGCTGTGTTCAGGGGACTGAAAGGCCAATGGAATTAAGGCAGTTCCCCAAACCTTTACTGACTGCAACCCTGAGATCAAGAAATGCACTTTACGTTGCAAACCAATACACAAACATACACTCTTGAAATAAAAGTTTAAACCAATACAGATCGGGCATTCCCAATCCAAAAATCTGGCATAATTGGAAATCCCAAACTTTTTGAATGCTGATGTGATGCTACCAGTGGAAAATCCACATGCCCTCATGTGGCAAGTCATGGTCAAAACACTGTGGTACAAAAATAATGTGTAAAATTATTCAGGCTGTGTCTCAGGTCTATATGAAACAAATGGATTTTATGGTTTGACTTAGGTCCCAACCTGAAGTTATCTCCTATAAATACTGTGAAATCTGAAAGTCTGAAATCTGAAATCCTTCATAGATGTCATTGTCTTCTGGTCTCAAAAGTTTAAGAGAAGTCAGTTGTCATTCCTTTTTTTTTAGAGATTTTTGTTATAGAGTATGTGCACTTGCTGGTGAGATAGAGACAGACACAAAAAGTGAGAAATCACCCATCAGAGAGGATGGCCATGCTACAATCCCTTGTCCTCCATTTTCTTCTCAGGATTTTGGGCACACATGCACACATACACATCCGGTATGAGTTTCAAGCAGCTGGGTCCAGGTCTCGAGTCATGGTCGACCACATGGGAATCCAGCAATGTAACTATTATGGCATCTGCTGGTCCTTCAGCTGTCATTCTGATGTCCCCACACTCCCTTAGAGAATATGGCTTTTGTTGTTTTTCTTCTCATTGCCTGCTTTTCTCTTTTATTTTTTTCTCTTTACCAAATTACTGAAAACTACCATGGGGGGGGGATACTTTTTAATAATTTATTCATCCTACTCAAGATTCACTGAATTTTTAGATGTAAGATTGCTGTTTTAGGATCCAATTTTGATACATTCTGGCCAATATTTAGTCAAACAAGGGTCTACACTGTTCTCGCTCCTCTTTTTCAGAAAACCCAATTACATGTATATTTGACTGCCTAATGCTGTCCTATGGGCTTTTAAGTTTCCCTCTTTTAAATCTTTCTCAAGTCATGTTGGAATTCTATTGATTTGCCTTCAGGTTCACTAATCTTTTCTTTTGTTGTGTCCAGTCACACATGATGGTTTTTTTTCTAAAAGTTAGCCTTTATTGGACATAGTTTACATGCAGTGAAATTCACCCTTTCACGTGTACAACGTATGAGTTTTAATGTGTAAGTAATAAACATGTAACTACCACAATAAAGATAAAGACAAGTTCTCTTACCGTCCAGAACATCTTCATGCCACTTTGTGGTTCATTCTTCCTCCCCTGCCTCCCTACCCACACATTATCAGTAGACCATGGGTCTATTTTGTATGCCTGTAGTGCTACCTTTTCAGAATGTCGTATAAATGGAATCGTAGCCTTCTGAGTGTGACTTATTTCACTGAGCACAATCCATTTGAGGTTCATCTGTGTTGTTATGGGAGCCAGGAATTTATTCCTTTTTCCCGCTGAGTAGTATTTCATTGTCTGGATGTAGCAAGGGTTGTTCAACCATTCACCAGTGGAAGGGCATGTGGGTTGTTTCCAGCTTGGGATGATTATGATTAAGGCTGCTATGAACCTTCTCAAACAGGTTTCTGTGTGAACATGTTTTCAGGTCACTTGGGTTGTTGACTTGTATGGTAAATGAATGTTTAAATTTATAAGAAATCATGATTGTGTTACAAGGGCTTGTTCCTCTTTGTATTCTCATCCACAATATGTGAGTACCAACTGCTTCATATCCTTGGCAATACTTGGTATTATCAGTTTTTTTTTTTTTTCTATTTGGAAAGGTTTTTTTTTTTTTTTTTTTTGCTATAGGGCATGTGCGCTCACCAGAAAGGCAGAGATAGAGAGATAGAAAGCGAGAAATCATCCCCTAGGGGTGATGGCCATGCTGCAATCCCCTCTCCTCCATTCTCCTCTCAGGATCTTGGGTACACACGCACATGTGCCCAGCGTGAATTTAAGCGACGGGGTCCGGGACTCAAACCGTGGTCAACTACATGGGATTCTAGTGACATAGCCACTATGCCATCTGCTGAGAAATCACTCCTCAGTGGGGGATGACCATGCCGCATCCCTTTGTTTTCTTTCTTTCTTTCTTTCTTTCTTTCTTTCTTTCTTTCTTTCTTTCTTTCTTTCTTTCTTTCTTTCTTTCTTTCTTTCTCTCTCTCTCTCTGTCTCTCTCTCTCTTTCTTTCTTTCTTTCTTTCTTTCTTTCTTTCTTTCTTTCTTTCTTTTTTTTGCTATAGGGCGTGTGTGCTTGCCAGAAAGACAGAGACAGAGAGACAGAAAGAGAAATCATCCCCCAGGGGGGATGGCCACACCACAATCCTTTCTCCTCCATTCTTCTCTCGGGATCTCGGCACCCATGCACACACGGTCAACGTGAGTTTAAGCCACTGGGTCCAGGACCCAAACCACGGTCGACTACATGGGAGTTCAGCGACATAGCCATTATGCTAACTGCTGGTCTCAGCCATGGGATTTTTGTAGATGCTTTTATTGGCTTGAAATTTTGAGTTGTTGGAAAAGTCATGATGTACTTTTTGTTTTTCTATGCAAAAATGTGTCATGACTTTTCTGACAACCAATAGTTCCTTTCTATTCCTAGTTTGCCAAAAAAAACTTTATCATGAAAAAATGATGAATTCTGTCAAAGGCTTTTATTTTTTGCATGTAGTGAGACGATCATGATTTATTTTTCTTCTTTATACTCTCGTTATGGTAAATTATACTGAGTAATCTTTACATCCGAATAAATCTTGAATTCATGAAATACATACTACTTGGTCATAATGTACTTTTTAAAATTAATTAATTAATTAATTAATTATATTTGACCAGAGTGACAGAGAAAGAGAGAAAGCAAGTTGCCAGGTCCAGGACTCGAATTGCAGTCGGCCATGTGGGAGTCCAGTGCCCCTAACTACCATGCCACCTGCTGGCCCCAGGTCATAATGTACTTTTAAAAATATATATCTCATAGGATTTAATTTCCTAATATTTTGCTAGAAATTTTGGGGTCTATATTTATCAAGGATATTGTTTGTGATTTTCTTATAATATTTTTGCCTAGTTTTGGTATCAGGGCAATTCTGTCCTCAAAAAAGTGGGTTGAGAAATGCCTCCTCCTCTTGCATTTTCCTGAAAAGCTCCTATAGAATCGCTATTATTTTTCCTTAAATGTTTGGTAGAATGAAGTAATTTAGGCCAAAAGTCCTTTCCCCGGTGGCAAGGTTGCTAATTATGAATTGTATTACTTTAATAGTTACAGACCTAGTCAGGTTATCTATATATTCAAATGAGTTTTGGTATTGTGTCTTTCATGGAATTTGTCAGCTTATATTATCAAATTTATAGACAGTTCTTCAAAATATTCTGTTACCATTCTTTTACTGGTGACATCCTCTCCTTCTTTCTTCCTTTTATAGGGCTCGTGCGCTCGCCAGACAGAGAGAGAGAGACATAGAGACAGAAAGTGAGAAATCACCCCAAGGGGGGATGGTCATGCTGCAATCCCTTCTCCTCCATTCTCCTCTCAGCATCTTGGGCACGCACGCACACACGCCAGCGTGAGTTTTAAGCCACCGGGTCCGGGACGCCAACCGTGGTCGACTACGTGGGAGTCCAGTGACATAGCCATTACACTAACTGCTGGTTCCCCTTTCTTCCTTTTTTAAAAACATTTTTTGCTATAGGTGTGTGCACTTCCCAGAGGGAGAGATGGCTACTCCACACTCCCTTCTCCTCCATCCTCCTCTGAGGATTTTGGACACACACATGGCTTTCAAGTTGCCAGGTCCAGGACTTGAACCACATTATTAGCCATGTGGAATTCAGCTGCCTTAATCTCCATACTGTCTGTTGGCCCCTCTTCTGTTTATTCATTCATTCATTCATTCATTCATTCATTCATTTAGCTAGCCAGCCATAGGGTGTGCGCATGTGTCAGAAGAGATGGTGAGAGGAGAAGTGAAAAATCATTCCCAGGGGGATGACCACACCACAATCCCTTCTCTTCCATTCTCCTCCTGGGTTTTTGGGCAGGCATGCACATGTGCCTGGTCTGAGTTTCAAGCCACCACATCTGAGACTTCAACCCATGTGGGAGTCCTGTACCTTAACCACCACGCCACCTGCTGCCCTCTCTGCCTCTTTCATTCCTGACATTGGTAACTTGTCTCTTTTTTTTTCTTTGTCAGTCTAGCTGTATGTTCATGAATTTCTTCTTCTTTTTTCTTTTTTTCTTTTCTGTTTTAAGAAACAGGGTTTCACTATGTTCTCTGCTGGCCTCAAACTCATTATCCTCTGCATCAGCTTCTCAAATAGCTGGGATTACCAGTGCACATCACCACACCTGGCTGATTGACTAAAAATTATCCCTTTTAATCAGTTTATTCAAAAACAAGCAATTGGTTTCATGGGTATTTCTCTAGTTTTTTTCCTCATTTTAATCTCAGTAATTTTGGCTCTGTCTTCATCATTTTCTTCCATCTGTTTGTTTTAGATTAAATTTGATCTTCTTTTTTCGGTTTCTTAAGGCAGAAATTTACATAATTGATCTGATACTTTCATTTTTTTCTAACATAGGTATTTCATTCTATAAATTTCCCTCTAAGGAGTGCTTTTAGCTCTATTCCATAAATTTTGATATATCACATTTTCATTTTTATTCAATTCAAAGCACTCTCTAATTTCCCTCCTGACTTCTTTTTTATAACCCATGGGTTACTTAGCAGTGTCTTACATAAATTACAATTATTTGAGGATTTCCTATATATATGTTGCTGATTAAATAATGTACTTTGAATTATTTCAGTTTTTTTTTTTTTTTGGAGAGCTATTCACTATAGGGCGCGTGCGCTCACCAGACAGACAGAGACATAGAGACAGAAAGCGAGAAATCACCCCCCAGGGGGGATGATCACGCCACAATCCCTCCTCCTCCATTCTCCTCTTGGGATCTTGGGCACGCATGCACACGTGCCCGGTGTGAGTTCTAAGCCACCGGGTCCGGGACGCAAACCATGGTTGACTACGTGGGAGTCCAGCGACATAGCCATTACGCTAACTGCTGGCTCCCAAATTATTTCAGTTTTTTAAAAAGAACTATTTTATTTAACTTTATTAATTAATTAATTTATTTCAATTGGACTGGAGAGAGAGGAAGAGAGAGAGAAAAAAAAAAATGAGAAAGCAAGTCACCAGGTCCGGGACTCAGACCACAGTTGGTTATGTGGGAGTCCGGCGCCTTTAACCACCACACCACCTGCCGGCCCTCTCAATTTTTTGAAATTTGTCTTAGTGCTTAGAATATGGCCTGTCTTAGAAACTGCTCTGGGTGTGGGGCCAGCAGGTGGCATGGTGGTTAAGGGCGCTGGAGTCCCACATGGCTGACTGTGGTTTGAGTCCCAGACCTGGTGGCTTGCTTTCTTGCTCTTCCTCTTTCTCCCTTTCTCTCTCACTCTCACTCTGTCTCTCTCTGGTCAAATTTAATTCATTAATTAAAATAAAATAATTCTTTTAAAAAAAACCAGAAAGTGTTCCAGATGTACCATACTGAAAAGAGTACATATTTTTGCCATTATTCTGTGATTCCTTTCATTCAAAGAGCACATTCCTCTCCAGAGTCTCTATGCTTTTGTTCACGCTCTAGTGCTTTAAAACATTTGTTTTGTTTGTTTTTAATATATTTTTGTCCAGAGTTTGTCATTCTTATCAACAAGAGGGTGAGTATATTACACTCTACCATCACTTATAGCCAGATTTCTTGTAATACAAAATGTACTTTTTATTTTTAAGCCAGTGTGTGTTGGGTTTCTTTGGTTCTTTCAAGCAAAAAATCCTGTCATGCATATACACCGTAGTTCACAGTGTATAAAACGGAATGCCAAGATCATATATAGGTGAGGGGTATGGAATTCTACAAGTAGGACTATTTTGCAACTTGATTGGCCTGTATTAAACTGGAAATCAATTTTTTTAGGAGGAGGAAGCATATGTGCCTATTTTATTTACTTGTAGGTAAACTATCTGCAAAATATTTCCACAGAATTTACAAAGGAGGAAGGAAATAATCAATAGAATTACCTTTACACTCAGGAGCATTATTACTCCATGTTCTAAGGCCAGAACAGTAAATCGTCCTTGCTCCGATAAGTGTGTATGGGTCAGGTCCAGGTGCAGGATCACAACTGTAAGTGACTGTTTCCAGATGCTGAAATTCTTCTTTATCACTAGCGTTGTGTTTTCCATTTTTTATTTCTGGAGGTCGTGCACACACAATCTCTTTAAAAGGTAAGGAAAGAGAAAAGGTTAAGACAGCACTTATAAAGTTCTGTAAACTGCATTCAATAATTCATTGATACAGGATTTCTACTAAGCCAGTTGTGAATCCAACATCCATTTAGAAGAACATTTGTATGAGAAAATAATATCATTATGTTTTTTTAAGAGAGATTTTTTTTGCTATAGGGTGTGTGTGTGTGTGTGTTCACCAGAGAGACAGAAACAGAGAGAGAGAAAACAAGAAATCACTCCCCGAGGAATGGCCATGCCTTAATCCCTTTTCTTCCATTCTCCTCTCAGGATTTTGTGCACACACAAATATGCACCCAGCGTGAGTTTGAAACCGTTGGGATTGGGATCTGAACTGCAGTAGACTATGTGGGAGACCAGTGACCTAACCATTACACCATCTGCTGGTCCCAATATATTATTATCTTAAATTCAAACCATTAATGTAGACATGAAATTTCAGAACAAAATTCAGTTTTTTGAAAGCCTCGATGTCTTATTTTATTAATACAGGTATTTGATACCAAAGAAATGAAGGCAGTTTTACAAACTCAGAATTCTTGTAAAGACGTGAAATGACCATTTCATTGTACGGTTTTCTATCACTCTAGTTAAGATGCATTTCTTTTTTTAATTATTTATTTTTATTTACATTTTTTAATACATTCAATCACATTATTTAGCTTATAAGGTGATCATTTCAATATATGAACATTTTTCCGCAGTCAAGTTGATCAAAATATAAAAATACTACCTCCCTGTCTCAACAATGCTGGCTTCGTATCCCTCCTTCAAATGTTCTTCCCCAGTCCCCACTCCTCCACACACACCACATCTGGCATTCACATCCACCTCTTGTGTTTGTACATCTGTTAGCCCATCAGTTTCAGTTATAGAGTGCAGACATTCAGTATAAAGTGGGGACATACAGTGTCTCTCCTTCATAGCCTGGCTTGCTTCACTCAGCAGTAAATCTTCCATATTCTTCCACTTTCTGTCAAAAGCCAGGGTTTTGTTGTTCTTAATGGCTGAATAGTATTCCATAGAGTATATGTGCCACAGTTTTTCAATCCATTCAGC